ACTATCTAATGTAAGTAATTTATAACATGACCATCAGTAATAGGCGAGTCTATAATTAATGTTGATTAATGATATCGAGTGTTGTGACTATAAATAGTTAATGATTAGAGATTGGTTTTGTAAAGTAGAATGTAGGCACTCGACTTTTTTTCTGATTTACATTATGAAGAATAACGTGATCAATATGATTCGATCTGCATTAAGAAGGACTTCACATACATGACATTGATTATCACCCAATGATCAATCAATTGTATAAACATCTCATTCCTACAGGAGGTCAGTCGCGACATGGATAGCTCAGTGATAACATCTCTGACTGTGAAGCTGGTTGACATGGGATTGAATCTGATAGGGAGCATCAGTTCCCTTAAGATTCCAGTCACACCTTACTGACGAGTGTCAAGTAGCATGAAACCCAAATCGAAGGTTTCCTGCTGACTACCTCCAATCAACATCTTATCTCAACATAGTGCACACAATGTCGAGTCACCTAGACTAGTGACTACACTGCAACTTGATCGACGGTACTCGATGTGTAATAAGAAGGACCTGATATACATGACGTAGATCAGCATCCAGTGATCAATCCATAGGAAAAGAATAATTTCATTCAAGTTCATGTAGAAATGATCTATAGACTAAATGTTACAAAGAATAATTCATCTTGTTAATAAATTCTCATCTTCACTTCAAAGTATTGAGTAAATGGAATGACCCTAATTTTTTTCTCTCATTGGTAAACATTTGAACTGTCTTCATAACACCTTGTTTAACTTCATTATGCGTATTGATTATGCGTTAGATATTACATAATCTTCTTGTTTGCCTTTAATTTATCTGGTTAGTTGAGTGAAATCAAGCGCGCTCTCTCTCTTTATATATATGTAAACATGGAAATGAATTCATTTGTTACCATGCAGTGTGCTATTTTATCATTTACATGTTAACCTAAATTTTATACGAAATTTATGTAACTGATGAAGTGATCTACTGATAAAACTATTGACCTTAGATTATTCTTATACTTTTTTTTAAAATGGTTAAATGAAATGCAGCAATAAAAAAAACAAACAAACAAACAATGAAAGTCAACAGTTATTTTATCAGAAGGGGTTTATTTGTAGATATTATAGTAAGTTTAATAGTTGGAATCATGAGTCAATTGAAGTTAAACCACCATGAAAAACCTGGAAGCACTGAACCGCCGTTTGATCTTATTGTAGAACTTCTCAGTTCTAATGAGAAGCAGTGATCAGTGGAGTGCAACGAGGTCTGTTGTGAGATAGTAACACACTGAAGACAATGGTGGATCTGTCGATTAATTTCGTGGATTGGTTGAAGTTAGACATTAACACTACTGGATGCCGGTCAGCTCAGTGGTCTCATGGTTAAGCGTTCGCGCGCGAGAGTGGTGGGTCCTGAGTTCGAATCTCGTGGAGTGGGATCGTGGGTGCGCACACATGGGCTATGAATCTTCTCCATCATCTCAAGAACATTGGAGAATATTGATAAGTTCAGCATTAAGAACTGGATAAACATAACATTGGTTAAAACTCACTAATTACTCGTTTTAAGTAGAGTTTCATATAGTTTGCTGATAATATGTCTAGCTGTGACACTAAGTTGGCCGGACACTATTAGCAACAACCTACTGTGGGAAAGAACAAACCAGATCCCAGTGGAGAAAAAAATCAGGAAGAAGCGCTGGAAGTGGATAGGACACACATTGAGGAATGCACCCAACTGCATCACAAGACAAGCTCTCACATGGAATCCTCAAGGCCAAAGGAAAAGAGGAAGACCAAAGAACACATTACGCCGGGAAATGGAAATAGACATGGGAAAAATGAACAAGAATTGGATGGAACTGGAAAAGAAGGCCCGGGACAGATTAGGTTGGAGAATGGTTGTCTGCGGCCAATGCTCCATTAGGAGTAACAGGCGTAAGTAAGTAAGTAAGTGACACTAAATAACGTAGCTTTTAGTCCAACAGAAAGTATAATCCTCCCCTCTTCTTTAGACTCATTCCCGAATAACAACTAGCGAGAGCTTGAAATTTATAACACCCTGTTCTTTTCCTGCATATTCGAACCCAGGACCTATCAGTCTCGCGCTAGGCGTTTGACCAACCCACTGAAGACAATGGTGTACGGTGGCGCAACTTCATCGATTGATTGAAGTTAAACATAAACACCGTTAGGTGCTGGCTTAGTTGTCTAGTTGGTTAAGCGCCTGGTGCGAGACTGATAGGTCCTAGGTTCGTATCTCGCAGAGTGAGGGATCATGGATGCGCACTGCTAAGGAGTCCCATACTAGGACGAAACGGTCGTCCAGTGCTTCCAGGTTTTCTATGGTGGTATAACTTCAACTGACTCATAACTTTAACTCTTAAAATTACTTTCATATCTACAAATAAACCCCTTCTGATAATATCTGATTATTAACCATAGAAAGGTGAATAATTAATATTAAGTAATAGATAAACATGACATCAGTCCTTATTCAATAATCAATTCATGTCCTTAACATTGAATTCATTCTAATATCTACATTGAATACTTATGATTATTGATAATTAAGTAAGACTAGAGATGAAAATGTACTTTTATTTAAGTGTACTCGCGTTTTGTAATTTTTGAAGGTAATAGAATCTTTTTCTTTGTTTTGTCTTCACACATACTACAGGGAATAGTGATAAGGCATTTCATGGCTAAGCATATTTGTATACTTGTTTATAATCCTTCAACGTTTTAACTATGTCATAACCTTTATACAAGGTCAATATGATTGTTGCATTAGAAAAGAATAGAACAACAAAGATTAGTATATAAATTGTATCAAACTAATAAAAGTAATAATGATGGTATTAAGGTGAGGTAATACAGTTTGCAATTGTTATTGTTAAGGTGGTGTATGCAACTGATATCGACAGATATAAGTAGTATGTATCATCAGTCGACAGTGAAACACTTAGAGGCAAAAAGTTAAGAAAATCGAAGGAAAGAGAACAAGAATAGAGAGTTATTGGTGTAGAAATGAAAGAACACTGAAGTGTCAGACGATTGATTGACATTTTGCAAATGAACTATTTACCGTATAGTTTTCTGATTGTCTAGGACAGGGTTGGATAGCAAGTGTTGGTGAGCGGTCTATGCTCGTTCACGGGGAGTAACAAGCGTAAGTAAGTAAGTAAGTAAGTAAGTAGTAAGTAAGTAAGTAAGTAAGTAAGTAAGTAAGTAAGTAAGTAAGTAAGTAAGTCTTTGATTTTACTCAGAGATTCTGTGATGCTGTATTCAAATATATTTGTTTGTTTCCACTTGTGTTCTCGTTCTGTACGAAGGTTGTCAACATAAAGATCGGTTTATGGTTAATTCTTAACTAACCTCTACTTCATCATATTATTCACGGATTGTATTTTATATTAAGAGAATGCATAAATTACTATAATACATTTCTAATTCTAGAATCTTTCATAATAGGATAACCGTAAAATTCTGTACATGATCTTGTCATGTTCTTGTACTGCATGGGATTGATCTATTAAGATATACATTCAATTGTTATTTTTTACTTGTGTTGGTAACAAGCAGCAGGTTTGTATTCCATTTGTACGACCCATGTGCATCATTGGTTTGGAATGAGGGTTTTCCAACTCCTTTAGGTGTATCCTCCATGTCCACCAATCATAGATTTATAAATTCCTAATGAGTAGTAAATTGAACTCTGAATATTTCACACAACTTAATGTTGATCGATTCTTCAGAGAACAAATCACCATATCATATTTTACCTTGAAATAACTTGAACCAGATTGTATTAGGCAAAACATTGGATTTACATCAAATTCATTCATTGTGATCTTACAATTACATTCTTCCACCCTTAAATCATATTCGTTTGAATAGTACAAAAGAAACAAGGAAGAATTTTCCTATTTGAATCAAAACTAGAATAGATCTAATCTTGTTAAGATTATGCCATTTCAGTTTAGATGATTCTATATGTGTTCATTTTTTGTTATTGTGAGAAGTAAATGTAATATTTGTCATGTGTTAAAAAAATATAGTTTGTTTGTTTTTTCAATGTGAGTTATAAAACGAGTTACATGTGTAGATATTCAGATAAATAATCCATATTGAAAGTATAGTTGGGACTTCTTGTCGACTGAACACAGTGAACAAAGATGGATAGTGGCTAGCAGTCTAATCCAACAGGCGCGTGTTTCGTCCTATTTGGAACTCGTCAGTTGGATGTATTTGTATTTCAGAGTTGATGTTCAGTCTGAAATTCGAATCAATTATAGCTCGCCTTAAACACTATCCCGTTATTCACTTAGCTACTGAATCATGATAGCCACTCACTTGTGCAATGAGGTGAAGTTTTAAGTTCACCTGATGTTGTTTATTTGTATCTTCCGACTGTTATTTAAGACTGCAATTGATCAGTCTGTTATTGGCATATGTGCATACTGTGTGTATTGCTTCGATATTGACTTAAATCTCGAGGATTTTAAGCAAAGATGGTTGATGGCTAACTGTGGAATCTAATAGGCGCGTGTTTCGTTCTATTTGGACTTGTCAGCTGGATGTAGCTGCATCTCGGCATTAATGTTCACTTTATCTTTGCTTATAAAGCTTAGGAATTAAGACAATATCGAGGCAGACCGCACAGGATGCACTATCGTAATAAGAGACTAATCAATTGCAGTCTTAAATATCAATGGGGAGATTCAAACCAACGATACCAAGTGAATGTGAACACACTAAGTTAAAATAGCATGAGGAAAAACTTCAACTACTCACCTTTTTGAATTATTTTTGTATTATCAATTTAGGAGATTTGTGAAGATTGTAGTATTTTTAAGGTTGAATTCACCAATCGATCTATGTTAGATCATCATTGAAAATCTGGAATCACTTGACGTCTGATCCGTTCTAGTGTGGCACTCTTTATTATTTGGTGATCCGATATCTGAGTCCATTTACATTATGTACTGATCATTTCATCATCATCATCATCATCATCATCATCATCATCATCATCATCATCATCATCATCATCATCATCATCATCATCATCATCATCATCATCATCATCATCATCATCATCATCATCATCATCATCATCATCATCATCATCATCATCATCATCATCATCATCATCATCATCATCATCATCATCATCATCATCATCATCATCATCATCATCATCATCATCATCATCATCATCATCATCATCATCATCATCATCATCATCATCATCATCATCATCATCATCATCATCATCATCATCATCATCATCATCATCATCATCATCATCATCATCATCATCATCATCATCATCATCATCATCATCATCATCATCATCATCATCATCATCATCATCATCATCATCATCATCATCATCATCATCATCATCATCATCATCATCATCATCATCATCATCATCATCATCATCATCATCATCATCATCATCATCATCATCATCATCATCATCATCATCATCATCATCATCATCATCATCATCATCATCATCATCATCATCATCATCATCATCATCATCATCATCATCATCATCATCATCATCATCATCATCATCATCATCATCATCATCATCATCATCATCATCATCATCATCATCATCATCATCATCATCATCATCATCATCATCATCATCATCATCATCATCATCATCATCATCATCATCATCATCATCATCATCATCATCATCATCATCATCATCATCATCATCATCATCATCATCATCATCATCATCATCATCATCATCATCATCATCATCATCATCATCATCATCATCATCATCATCATCATCATCATCATCATCATCATCATCATCATCATCATCATCATCATCATCATCATCATCATCATCATCATCAGTGATTGAAGTCACTAACCTCTGGTCTCAGCCATGTTGGTAGATGCAGACTACTTCGTTGAGGTCCGTGCGACTATCGTAACCAATGGTTGGAGACTCTAGGCGACATAGTTCAGAATTGGTCACGATGGCGTAGGTGTATACACTTTTTGTCTTGTAAACTGTGAGATCAAAATTGCTTTAAATCTTTCTTTCTACGAACCAATTCTTTCTTCCTGATCGACTTAAATCATGTTAATGAATAGGTAAAATGAAATAAGTCTAATGCGAGAATGAATTTAAAATTCGTATATTCCGCATACTCATTGGTCTAAACAAACTATCAGAGAAATGAAGTGAAAGAAGCGAATAGAAGCGAAATGAAGTGAAGCGTAGCGAAGAAGGCAAGTGAGTCAATCCAAATGCATCAAGCGTGACTCAATATTTCTAGTCAAATCAAAATGAGTTACAATTACATAATGAATAGGGTAAGTGATTAAGATACATAAGATCATATAAATATAGTCAGGGTCAATAAACGAATAAATGATAAGGTCAAAATGTCGCTTGAGAAGAATGAATAAATTAGTCTGTTCAGGCTCGAAACAATGTAGTGTGTGCTACTGATATCGACAGATATAAGTAGTATGTATCATCAGTCGAAAATGAAATACCGGGCAGCAGAAGGTTAAGAAGATCGAAAGAAAGACAACAAGAACAGAAAATGATTGACGAGGAAACGAAAGAACAACGAAGTCTTAGGCGATTGATTGACATTTTGCAACTGAATTATTTACTGTACGGTTCTCAAATTTGACTAAGATGATCTGTAATTTTATGTTCAAATACATTCGATTGTTCCTAGTTGTGTTCTCGTTCACTACAATAGTACCAGCCACTTTAAATTTTTGAATCTGTATAATGGAAAAAATTCATTGTATTCCATCTGTTGTGCCATGACGGTGTGTTCGAAAGACATTGCTATCCCGTTCAACTTATCATTGTCCAATAAAACGATAATGCAGTGATTACTAAGTGTTTTATGGATCATATATTTACATTATAGAAATGGCTTAATAATTTCATTCTCACTGTGAAAATTGTATACTCTTGTATGCCATTCGCAGACGTAAAGACGAGGATTGGCAAAGCAAGGACCGTATTCCCAAACCAATTGCCCACCCATATCAAAATTAGAATCTTCAATACAAACATCAAGACAGTCCTACTATATGGAGCTGAAATATAGAGAACTACCACAACCATCACCAAAAATGTACAAATATTTCTAATCAATTGTCTACGTAAGACACTGAAAATCCGTAGTTCGAATACCATCAGCAATAGTCTACTGTGGGAGAGGACAAACCAGCTTCTAGCTGAAGAATTCAAGAAACTGCATCATGAAGCAAGCACATAACTTGAAATCGTGAAAGGAAACGAAAAAAACACAGACCAAAGAACTCACTTCGTTGGGAATCGGAAGCAAACTTAAAAAGGATCAACAGCAAGCACAAAGAGTTGGAAAGGATGGCTGTGAACAGAGTTGGATGAAGAATGCTGTTGAGCAACCTATGCTTCTCCTCGAGTAGGATAAACAGATCTAAATAAGTGTGTTTGTTATTCCCGTGTTGCATGCAGTTGATTTCACTTGATGTACTTACTTACTTACGCCTGTAACTTCTCAAGAACGAGCATAGGCCGCTCACCAGTATTTTCCATCAAACACTGTTTTTTACAGTTTTTATTCATTCTTTGCATATCTGATTATATTTCCCAACGTAATGTGTTCTTTGGCCTTCCACGTTTTTGCTTCCCCTCACGATTCCAAGTTAGGGCTTTTCTCGTGATGCAGTTTGATGATTTGCATAATTTATGTCCTATCCATTTCCATCGTCTTTTCCTAATTTCCTCTTCAGTTGGAAGCTGGTTTGTCCTCTCCCACAGGAGGCTGTTGTTGATGGTATGCGACCAATGGATGTTAAGTATCTTGCGTAGACAACTATTTATAAATACTTGTACCTTCTTGATGATGGTTGTTGTAGTTATGCAAGTTTCAGCTCCGTACAGTAGAACTATCTTGACGTTCGTATTAAAGATATTAGTTAAGAGTTGTTTTGAGTTGTATATGTTCTTCAGTTGTAGGAATGTGGCTATTGCTTTGCCAATCCTCACCTTTACGTCTGTATCTGATCCTTCTTGTTCATCGATGATGCTTCCCAGATACGTGAAGGATTCTACATCTTCCAGAGTTTCGCTATCAAGTGTGATTGGATTGGTGTTCTCTCATTTCATCTAAGTTTATACACTCTTTAATCATATTCATAATTTGTTTATTTCATTGAACACATTACATAATCAAATCATTCAACTTTCAATTGATCCATTTCAACTGTAGAAATCTATTTAGATGTAAACAACATTATATCATAGTTCATATTAAGTAAACAAAATAAACAATCAATTAAGGTTAAATGTACTAAAAGGAATGAATAGATGATTATGTCTACTACATATTTATGTTTATATTAGTTATAATGAACTATACTATTGATTGATTGAATATTATTAGTATAAACAAATACCTACAAACATTTCACTTATCTTCTATTCATTTTAAAAGTACATAATCTTCCTATCACCATTCTACTGTTAATAGAAGTATATTTCACAGATTGAAATCATGAGTCAATTGAAGCTAGACCACCATGGAAAACCTGAAAGCATTGGACGGCCGTTTCGTCCTAGTATGGAGTTCTAGTGAGAAGCCGTTACTAGTGGTGTTCAACCAGGTCTGTTGTGAGATATCAGCTCACTGAAGACAATGGTATACGGTGACGCGACTTCGTGGATTGGTTGAAGTTAGACATTAACACCGTTAAATGCCGGCCAGCTCAGTGGTCTAGTTGGTTAAGCGCTTGGCGCGAGACTGATAGGTCCTGTGTTCGAATGTTGCGAGGTGGGATCGTGGATGCGCACTGTCACGGAGGATTCCCACGATAGGACGAGATGGCCGTCCAGTGCTTCCAGGTTTTCCATGGTGGTCTAGCTTCAAATGACTCCTGACCTCAACCATTGAGATTGAGTAAAGTGTTTGAACTAGGCTCTCTAACAAATGTCTCTTTAAAATATGTATCTCGATGGGTGAAAAACTCTTGACAATTATGATTTAGAGTCACTTGATGGATAACGGAGATGAAGTGTTTGTCTGTATATTTTACGAAAAGTTATAATAATAATTAACTTTAAGCAAAGATGGATAGTGGCTAGTGGTGAAATCCAACAGGCGCGTGTTTTGTCCTACTTTGGACCCGTCAGATGGATGTACCTGCATGTCAGAGTTGATGTTCACTCATGGACTGGAGTTTAGTAACGTTCAGTTCAAACGACATAGCGTTATTAATTAACCACTGAGTCCTGATAGCCACTTGCTTGTGCAATGGGGTGAAGTTTTAAATTCACTCGGTGTTGTTTACTTTCCCATTGTTATTTAGGACTGCAATTGATCAGTCTCTTGTTTGCATATGTGCATCCTGTACAGATTGCCTCGATATTCTCTTAAATCACAAGCATTGTAAGCAAAGATGGATAGTGGCTAGCAGTGGAATCCATCGGGCGCGTTTCGTCCTATGTAGATTTGTCAATAACAGACTGATCAATTTCAGTCTTAAACATCAATGGGAAGATGCAGTTAAACAATACTAAGTGAATTTCAATTTCACCCCATTACACAAGTAAGTGGTTATCAGGACTCAGTAGCTAATTAATTAACGCGATGCCGTTTGAAGTGAACGGTACTGAGTTCTAGTCCGTGAATGAACATCTACTCTGAGATGGAGGCATATCCAGCCTGCGAGTCCCAAATCGGACGAAACATGTACCTGCTGGATTTCACTGTTAGCCATCAACCATCTTTGCTGATAGTGCTTGTGAATTAAGGCAATATCGAGGCAATACGCACATTATGCACATACTCCAATAACAAGCTGATCAATAGCAGTCTTAAATATCAATGAGAAGATTCATGTAAACAATACCAAATGAATCTAATGACTAACTCTGTTCTTAATCTATCCACTATGTATTTCCTACTTGATCCATATAGACAGAAAGCAAATAGGACAGTTCTGTTCTTTATTATGATAAAGATGGTTGTAATACGATTATCTATTCTGCTACATAATCATATTTTTCGTTCATTCACTGTCAATCATTCATTCAGTTTATTTTAGTTTGAATCATGATGATTAATTATGCAACTGTTTATAATGATTTCTGTGATTATTACTAATTATAATCTCATCATTTTAACTTTGAAAGATTAGATTTTCAACGCATCAGCTTACTATCAGATGGGGTTTATGGAGATTTTAGAAATTTTACAGATTGAAATCATCAGCCAATTGAAGCTAGACCACCATGGAAAACCTGGAAGCACTGGACGGCCGTTTCGTCCTAGTATGGGACTCCTCAGCAGTGTGCATCCACGATCCCGCACCCCGCCAGATTCGAACCCAGGACCTATCAGTCTCAGCTTATATCAGATTTCAATACTAAGTTTGGTATCATATCTTAGGCCTTTTCTTGATTACTCATGATTTTCTAACTTTATATATCAACCTCACTACACTTATTTACTTTGACCTGTTAACCCTTGTGAAGGAGTATAAGCCGTCGATCAAGATTCCCCATCCAACTTTGTCTTGGGCTCTCCTCTCCAGCTGTTTTCAAGTACTATTCACTTTCTCGCTGTCTGCCTCCAATTCTCGATGCAATAAGTTCTTTTGTTTACCTCTTTTGATTTCCTTATCAGGATTCCGAATTGTGACTTGCCTCATGATGCCATTCGATGATTTCCTCAATATATGTCCTATTCACTTCAGACAACTTTTTCTAATTTACTCTTCAGCTGGGAATTGGTTTATTTTCTCCCACAGTAGTCTGTTGCTGATGGTATCCGATCAAAAGACATTGAACATCTTGTCTAGACAATTATTTATAAATACTTGTAATTTTAATG